GCACACTGCAAGGACTTGGCGGGGGTGTGCATCAACTGATGCAACTCCGAAGAGAACAGTTGTAAGGTGGAGGCGGTATGTTCAACAATGGTTTGATTCTTCTTGTTTCTTATAACGAGGTTGCCCAGTAAGCTTAGAAGTTTTNGCGTTCGTAGCTGCACAAGAAGAGATTAAGGATCTGGAGCCCTCCTCGTATATTGAAGCAACTTCTTGCAAGGATGTTGTACAATGGCGGTTAACCATGACTGAAGACATGANTTGTAGTGAGTAGAGAGAAATTCTCTCAAGTGTAATTGGGAACTCTCCCCTTCCTTTGTTAATATTAAAAAGGCAACTGTTCTCTGGTGGACGTAGGATTATTTTGATCCGAACCACGTTAAATCTTGTGTTCAATTCTTTTATGTTTCCGCTAACAGAATTAATAATTTATTATAACTTACAACTAATTATTTATTTAAATAAAATTATTTTTTTAAAAAAAATCCGACCGATTTCGGTCGGTATTTGAAAATTAATTTTTTTTAGTGGTTATCGAATTCGATCGGAATTTGAAGGTTGACAGTCAGTCAACGCTTTGCTTCGGTCGATACATGTTAGCGACCATCATTTTTCTGACCAATTCAAAACGGTCAAAAATCGGTCGATTTTTATTAATTTTCGATCGACTTCGGTCGGTTTTGGTGGACGAAATTAAACAACTTTTTAGTAGTGATATTTGTATTAATTTTTTCGTTACTAATTTCATTTATTATGTGTACCCAAAACTTAAGATTGTATAGCTCGCAAAACTATTTCTTGCATAACCACACTGTCACACTCTAAACTAAGGCCACAAACTCAACAATGTAGATGAATATATGATTACTTTCTTTCAAAACAAAAAAAATAGAAACCAATTACAAGCATGGGCGGAAAAAGGTTCACTAGAACCCCCTTCCTAGAAAATTACACTATATATATAAAGAAAAAATTTATTTTGTATCTCTATATGTTATATTTTGAATTTCCTTGTCAAAGCCCAAAAACATAGCTCGGTGATCAAGGGGGTTCAAAGCCTTTGTGAGTAGGGAAGACAATGGGGCGACACGAGTGCGGGGCAAGTTTGATCTTATGCAAGGCAGGGCGGGACGGGTGCAGGGTGACTTGAAATCGATTTTTTAAAATCTAATGCGGGGCCAGGCGATTGCGGGTTTCCTTATGTGAAATCACTATAGATTGTATAAATAAGGCACTAAGTCAAGTAACAAATATAGAATGGCGGGAGAATATGACTATGCAATTATTACTATTGACTATATAAGACATTCACCTATACGTGCCAAGGACCTTGTCCACTGTCTACTACTGCTATATCATATTTCATTTAAGTATCAGTACACATATATGAACTTATATATATATATATAAAATTATGGTGCATATTTGTTATATAGAAATTTATCAAGTACAAGTTAATATGTAAATTTAGGTATACGATATGTTGATTTTCCGCATTCATTTTCCAAATTCAGTTATATTTTCTATTATAATTTTTTAAAATAAAACTATAATTGTTGGATCCATATAAGGGATTTAAGAAACTGAAAAAAATAAAATATCTAAACTTGTGTGTTTTCAGGAAAAATAACAAAATGAAAAAAAATATATTGCGGGCCGGGCGGGTCTTTGGGGACATGACATGTTGAAATTTTTCGGGTTAAGATCAAACCCGCCCCGCCTCGCCGCACGCCATTGCCATTCCTATGTGTGGTTGCTGGGTTGACCACAATCCCTTCTAATTTTTTTTTTAACTTTTTACTTTTTTGAACTTCCTTAACAGAAATCCTGTATTACAAGATATACTATACTATACTGTATCTCAAAGTCTTTAATATTAAGAGATGAATAAGGTTTGTTTAGTTTCTTTAAACCAGAATGATTGAAGATAAAGGGTCCATAATCATTCCATAACAGTAATCAAATGCCCCTTCATTAGTTTAGTGAGAAAGAGAGAGCCCCATCCCAATATAATAAGGAACCCACTCCTGGATTTCCAGTGGATATCATAATGAGTGTACGTTACTTTCTCCCAAAAAAATAGAGCTTTTAAAATTTCAAAAAACTGGATCACCCCACAGCTCAGATTCCTAAGTTTCCAACCTATATAATATCTTTTTAAAGCCTCTTTCCCCTAATTCCCTCTCAAATTTATAAAAGCCTCTTTTCCTCTGCTTTCTATACATTTTTACAAGTATATAACAACAAAACTAGACGGCGCCGGCGCTATCACGCCGCCGATAATCTTCTCCCAAGAGAAGAGAAAAAGAAAGAAAACCCATAATTCTCTTTCTTCTACCTGCTAACATATCTGAATTTAATTGTCAAAAATTCAGTCTTTGCTCTATAATGTGGCTGGTTATTGTTTTTTAGCTATGGTAGCAGAGTAAAGGAGTGAGAGGAGAAGGGAAAATCTGTGGGTTCTATCCAAAAATGTTGTGCAGAAAGAATTCAGTTAGATGTGGGCGTGGAACAGTGCCAGTGTATCTAAATGTGTACGATCTCACATCTATTAATGGCTATGCTTATTGGCTTGGTCTTGGTGTTTACCATTCTGGTGTTCAAGGTCAGCAATAACTCAGACTTTTTTTTTTTTTTTTTTTTTTTTTTTTTTCCTTTTNNNTTTTTTTTTTTTTTTTTTTTTTTTTTTTTACATTTTGTAGTGCTTTATTTATTAGATCTAGGCATATTTAGGTAGCTTAATTATTTGAAAAGCAAGAAATTTTCTTAATTAATATTGTAATTTCTTTGTTAGTTCACGGAGTAGAGTATGCATTTGGAGCTCACGAGTATCCAACAACAGGGATATTTGAAGGGGAACCGAAACAGTGCGAGGGATTTACGTTTAGGAAAGCAATTTTGATTGGATGGACAGAGATGACTCATAGAGAAGTGAGGGGAGTAATGGAAGAGCTTGCTGAGAAATACAGAGGAAATGCTTACAACCTTATAACTAAGAATTGTAACCATTTCTGCAATGATGCTTGTCTTAAACTTACAGCCAATCCTATCCCCAGTTGGGTAAATCGACTTGCACGCATCGGTAAGTCTCTTAATCAATCAATTAACTATGAGTCGGCTATATGAATCATCTGAATAGTGGTGCACAATTCATATCTAAAACAGTCGGGGCTCATTTGGTACGAGGGATAAGGGATATTAATCCCGAGATTAAATTTGGGACAAGTTTATCTCATGTTTGGTTGGGATATAATTGTGGTATAACTAATCTCAGGATTGATAACTAATCCCGGAATAATTAATCATAAGATAACATGTTTCCAACCAAACGACCCCTCATGGTTAACTATCCTAAGTATGTTTCTTATTATGTTAGTACTACTTAATATGTAATTATACTATATATTTCTTGTCACTTTATGGAGTTCCAAAATATTCTGTCTTCTTTGGAATTTTTTGTTTTCTCATGATGTTGCTGAATTAGGAAATTTCTTCAGTTTCACACACTGGTTCTTGTTCTGTTTTGCAACTGAATTACTTTTTTTTTTATTTAAAAAAAAGCCCAATGCACGAAGTATCCTGTGTTCATGTAAAATCGGAGAAGGGCCGCATCTTAAGGGCTGTGAGGTAGACTGACTGCCCTGATGCAAATATCCGTGAGTGATTAATTTCACCGCTCGAACCCGTGACTATTAGGTCACACGGAGACAATTGAAATATCTTTGTTGATTAATCAGGTTTTCACATTGAGAGATAGCTTAATACTAGGAAATTTATGGGGCCCAGATGTGGCCTGATAGCTACTCAAAGTCGTAGAGTGTAGTAAACGTCCTATTCCCCAATTGAAAAGCTAGTTCTGAATTATAGGAATTTGCTTATCCAAGAACTTTCCTTGATATGGTTTGATGTGATTAAAATATTGTTCTGATTCTTTTCAAATTTGGTCGGTTCCTGTTTTTGCTACCGTACGTCAATGCCTTTTAATTTGGGAATTAATTGCGTCTTAATTTTGTGTAGGTTTATTTTGCAATTGCATTATTCCAGTGAGCTTGAACTCAACCAAAGTTGGCCATCATCGGATTGAAGACAAAGCATGCGATGAAGGGGAGATGAAGAAACTAAGAAGCCGCTCTAATAGACTGACTCCGTCGACGGATTCATCTTCATCTTCGGAGGAAAAGTCGTGCTCTCCGCCGCCAATCAAAAGTAGAAGCAACAGAAGCAGAAGTCCAGTGCCTTCATCTTCAGCCTTGATATCCACATAGATTTCTTGATAATGAAGGCCACTCCACATGATTTGTTCTGTTCTACATTTGTTCTTTTGCTCTCCACTTTACTTCATAAAGCAAACAACTCTGAAATTTCTGTACATGAATGATTTCTATGAAATGGGCGACAGCTCATCAACATTAAATTTGAGTCTTGAAAGGCAATTATAAGAGCTTATTAAAATATAAATAGTTCCGCCATTCTCCTGAGTTTGCAGTATGTTGGATGACATGTTCAGACCAAGCAATACTTCAAGACCAAGAGGTCCTAATTTGGTTTAAAACAATAACAAAAAAAAACGTAGTATAATTTGACACATCAGATTTAGGGTGACTAGGAATCTGTTCTGCTTTTCCTTTTTGAGAATAATAAGTTGCCTTTTTGCAGCTTTCGGCATCAAAAGGCCTCCTTTTCCTCTAGTTTTACCAAATACCAAACCCCTCACAAATTTGTTTACCAATCTTTTATTCTTGCGCGCCCATTTCTAGACTTATGCTATACCTGAAATTGGACCCACAATCTTACCGACCTATCATATGTCACAAGTCAAAACACTAACTACTAGCTCTCTCTCAAACCTACCATGGAATATGGTAGCCTAGTTGTAACACATGTATTTGCTGACTTTTTGATCCGTTCCAAAAAGAATAACTCTTTCTAAATTTGGACACAATTTAGCTTAAATTTCTAATTCTACTCTTAATGAGAAGTTTTTATATCCACATAAATACTCTCGACCTTTTTTTGACTTGTTTAGAACCACAAATTTCAAAAGTCTTTATTTTTTCTTAAACTCCGTGCCCAATCAAACAGGTTAACGGAGAGAGTGAAAGATAGAAAGAAAATCCTTAAGGAAGGATAACCAATAAGAGTAACTATCTATATATTTATGTTGAATAAGAGTAGTTGTATGAAGAATAGCTCCACTTACCATTCCATATCTTATCTTAGCATACAAGTCGGGAAAGGGGGAGGGGGAATAAAGGAAAGGAAAAAAAACATTTCCAAACAATAGTATGCGCAGCTTGACTTGAACGACTCCTGCACAGGGATAATATTTTTATTATCAGCAAACCACTGCTGAACAAATTTCAGAAGTCAATCACTATGTGGAAACAGAGAACCTACTTCGCATTAATGAATAATATTTGGTGCACACAGTGACATGCCAAACAGCAGCGTTCTTAGCCCTGCTTTGCTCTCAGTGACTCGACAAAATTATCCAGGATCAGAGGCCACGCAAGGAAGGGGTCATAATTGCTTAAGTCTGGAAAGCTAATCTGTTACACAAAAACATTAAGATAGGAGATAAGACTTCAATCTTAACATTGAGTCATCAAAGTCGCCACAAGGATTCTGATGCATGCAACTGTCAGATGACAACCTGATTGCTCATATTAGGTGATGACACAAATGGAATAACCAAGACATTGACAAATTGAAAGTGAACTGAAGATTTACCTCATTAACAAACCTATAAAATCCCATCCATTGATCCATGTTTATAACCTTGTAATCAGTCTGCGTCTGCACCAGTAACCAAGCACATAAGCATACTCCTAATTACTAGAAGTTAGAAAGATTACTCTGATCCAATGCTGCTGAAGGTTCTTCTTCAATAAATATGGAACAATGACTAAAAAACGCAAGATTTTCAACAGGAAAGTCTCCTTTTACAAGGGAAGTGATTCAGTATCCAATATAAAAGGAGCTATATATAGAAGCTGCAGGGTTCCCGGTCAAACAAATGGTTTCCACTCTAGAAGGAGCTCCAGAACATAAATGATTAGCAGTAAATGATATCATTCAAAAGCACCCTAAGGGCATTATCAGAGGCCGATTATAGATAGCAAGTGGAGCACGGTGCAACTCACCTTCAAATACTGAACAAGCGCGTCAACTTGGGGTCGAAATTCAAACCCTAAAACGAGATCAAGCAGGAGACAAATGCTCTCGACGTCTATGCTCTTCTGCTTCTCCTCTAGAAAAGAGGTAAGAAAAAGAGAACCAGTAATCAGAAGAAAGAAGACACACTTCAAATATGCAATTTACCTTCTGCTACAAAAATAAAATTTTCTATTATAAATGCATTGTAATAGGGAAATAAAATCTAAACGCAGCATAACAGAACAACTTATTCTTTCCAAGCTCCAAAGCCTTATATTTAATTATATATTTTCATATCAATATTTTATAAAAGTATTCTGTACTTTTTCATCTTTGTTTTCTTTTTCAGTCTAAAGCTGATCAATGAATCTTTCCTTCAAGAATTAATATGTTACTTGATGTTACACAACATGTGACAGAGGAAGCACCATACCTGTCAAGCAATACTGAAACGCATAGGAGTAGAACTCCACAAAATTTGATGGCCTTCTAACCTTTTAAAGAAAGGAAAATGTGGATCTTAGTGGAACAGAGCAGCAATCCGTCTCACAGCAGAAGGGCACCAAAAATTTCACATAGCATGAGCTGAAGTTCAAATATAATTAGGTACCTCCTTCTCAAGTTCTGGAAGTGCTTTCTTCAATTTCTGTGCTGTGTCAGCTCTTAATGCTTTGAGGCCCCTCCGCCACTCATCCTAGTAGTCAAAGCAATGGTGAGTCAATAAGAAGCATACAACCAAATCTAAGCAAAGAAAGCTATCAAATCGACAAAAAGCCCAGCAACTGCATACCATAACAAAATGGTTAATGGGTTCTTATCATTATTTTGGATTTGTGGAAGAGGGAGCGGGAATATTTGTTAATCTTCGTAGAATCAAACAAGACAATCTACACTATGACCAAAAAGAATAATTGTATCCCTAGAAAAACCTGATACACATATTTCTTGCATTTTACTAAGTGATAGGCTTATAAGTGCTCACTATTTTACAAATGCTCACTACCCTTAGTATTTTGGCACAAATTGATCCTCCATTAAACTTTGGTGCAAACTAAAACTAATTGGACTAACAATAAGCCAAGCATACATTTTCTTAATGAAATGACCCAAGCGTGGTCATAGTAAAACGTTGAGGTACAGTCAAGAAACCATGAATCATTAGAGCATCAAATAAATGCATGGCTTTCAATACTGTAGCAGACAACACTAATATCTCAACAAAAAGTCTAAACACCTTATGTAGTACCCAACTGATGTGGCAGATAATGCAGTACAATAGAATAATCATATAGAATTAGGTTTCCTACAATAAACAGCTATTATTTCCGTATCTCCAACTTCCTTCCAGAAGATGCTGCAGAATTATTACTCAATGAATGTAGCTTCTAGACCTCACTGGACACTGATCATAAACTTCCAAAACATAAGCCCAGGGATGAATTCTTAAAAAAAAAGATTCTCTAGGCGCATGGCAAATATTCCTTACTTTAGATTACGTGTCATCCCGGACAAAAGACTATTCTACAAGTATGAACATGTTCAAATGGGCATATCTAAGACACAGGTGGAAAAAGCATAATTCAATAATCCAATTGAATAATCATCCTGACCAAACAGACAAAAAATGCACACCAATTCATCCATTTAGCTTGCTAATTTTTGCAGGGACTGGCTTGCCTGGGGAAAAACATTGCAAGACTGTCATCCTGCAGAGTCAGTGCCTATTTCCTATGTTCTTACTCTATTTACCAATGCACAGGTTAAGAGTAGTTAAGCATTTAAGAGAAACTGAAACTTTGATCAATTCTCTTCAGCACCCTTTTCACGGGAGTACCCTTTGGCACAAACTCCCTAAGATAACAAAGAACATTTATATGCCTTGAAAAGAAAGAACCCAGCCTTAATTTAAGAACTACAGTCTCAGAACCCAGCCTTAATTTAAGAACTACAGTATTTGAGATAAACAGACATAACAGATGAGTTTAATTTTCCAAGTATGGACACAATAGACAATCTTGCAAGGAAGAAACAAAAGCTACCCGTGAAAGATTGAGGAAGATGATTGAAACAGCAAAAGCAGTGTAGTACATACTGCAATGCTAAAGTAATATTAGTAGTAGCCAAACAAATACATACCAGTGAAAAGTATCCTTGTTTTTCAGACTGCATCTTCCTAAAATTCAAAGTTATTGTTATTAAACCTCTGAAGATGTAGGATACTTCATACAAACTAACAAGTAACAGAGTATAAGGGATCTCACCATGCAAGCATCAATATCCTGACATCGGTATGTTCGACTTCCAAATCAGAACAAAGAAACTCAATTCCTTCCGGGCTAACCATGAAAAATATGAAGTGTATTAATCAAGTGCAAAACAAAGGAATTTAAACAAGCTGGTGAAACTGCCGTAGTTGGGTGGAAAAGTTGAACGATAATATCCATATTTTTTCTTCTTTGTTTTTCCAAGCATAACTTTCTTGCTTCAAAATCTAAGACTTTCTTCCAGGAAAAGATGGATATTAGGAGCACAAACAACATAACGTACTTGTAATGCTAGGAAATTACAGAACATGGATTACACCGATACAAAAGAAAAAGGGTAATGCATACTTACTCAATCATACCAGACGAAGTATTGGCATATGTATGAAAGAATTGATCGATACGTTCCAATTCCTTATTTGCTGCTTTACTTGAAGCTGAAGCAATGAAAACGAAGTGAGATACTGTTGTAATGCAGCTTTACTGCATACGTTATATTCTACCCATAACACATAATGACCAAAAAAAAAGAACAAGTGTCCAAGAGGTCTGAGTGCATTAATAGAGTAGTTCTCAAGCACCTATGACAAAAAGTTCAGCAGATACAAATCAAATGGGACATAATTTCTGAGACAACAAATCCACATTCAATACTCCCAAACATTCCGAGAATAACATCTCACAAAGCCATACCCAAACACTCACAAAAATCAAAACAAAAAAAGGACTAAAACCTAACAACACCAACCACATTAGCATCAAAGCCTACACCAACTGGATACTCTGTAATGGCAAGTGGATGATACCCTGGGATGACCTTAAAGATAATGTGTTTCCTTTTATGTTGGGCACAGGAGGAAGAGGGTTAAAGACTTAAAGGTAAACCAGTGAAAATTTAAAGCACTACAGAATACAGG